GCATTATATAGTGCTGGCCCGTCCGCGAGGCTGCTCGTGCCTATGCCAAAACGTGCCAGACCCTGGGGTTGACGCTCCACAAAATAAGCCTTAAAGGCCTGAGCTAAAACCCCGGTCTGGTGCATGAGTTTCAGGGTAGGTCGATCTTGAGAGGGCCTGAAAATGGCCCGTCGTTTTCAGGCTGGAGGCCGAAACGACACAGGGCCTGAAACAGGCCCTACCCCTACGGACCCTTAGTCCACCAGGTCGGGCTCTGCTGGGCCCGTGTGGTACGGAGTATGCCACATCTTCTCTCTGACTTTTTTGGCTGATCCATTAAGCATAAGTACGTTGTCCAGGATATACCTCCCCGGGATGAAACCTTTTTGATCAATGTGGAAGCATTTATTTGTCACATCTAAGATTCGAAAAGCTAGAGCTTTGGCCAAAATCTTGTAAGGGAGAGTCAGCAACGAGATTGGTCTTTAGTTTCTTATGTCTTCCTTCTCCCCTTTCTTGTACAATAGCGTAACTACACTACTACTCATCAGGTTTCCTAAGCCGCCCTTAGACCAACTGTCATTGGAAAAATTCAGCAGATCGCCCCCTAAGAGTGGCCAGACCTTTTCCTAGAATTCTCTCATCAATCCATCTATGCCTGGTGATTTGTTGTTGTCCATTTGAACTGTGACTTGTAGTTCCTCTATTGTGATCGGTTTATCAAGAGATTGTGCTTGTTCTGGAGATATCGTTTTCTCAAAATACTATAACATCTTGTTTTGTGCCTCTCTAGTGCTCGGCGGGGTAGGTGTAGGGGTCTGTGTGTGGTAGAGGTCTTCGTAGAATTCCTTTGCTATGTTCAACATTCCCACGCTGTCTGTAGCTATTTTAGATGCTGTTGTGAGAGTCCTCAGGCCTTAAATTGAACTAGACCTAGCATTGGTTTTTATTCTTGCGAAGAAGTGTTTGGACATTGACTCGCTTAGTTCGTATTCATTCATCCTTGCTCTCACTTGCAGGCCTTTCAGCTCCCACCATCTCCATATCGTCAGTTCTTCTCTCCCTTTTTTGAAAATGTCTCTGTAGAGCACGAAAGATGGATTATCGATCAGGTTTATTTCTGATATCTCAAGAGCATTTTCCAATGCCTGTTTCCTTTGTTTCCTATGATTGGCTAGTTTCCTAGAGATTTTATCCACTGTCTAAGATAGAGTGAGGTAGCTTTCTTGAAACCACTCCCACCTGCCTTGATATGGTAGGTATCCTCTTCTCGAGTTTTGCCAGCATTCTTGAACACCCGCCTGAAAGGTCTTGCTCAAAAGGAGGGAGTTATTTAGCTTGTGAAAGCGGCAGCCTTTCTTGATGAATTGTTCAAAGCTAAGGATGAGTTCAATTGGTTTGATGGAGCCTCCCCGATGGTGCTAGTGGTGTCTACTCTTATCAGCACCCCTAGCACTCTTATCAGCACCCCTAGCAGCTCAGGCTGTTGTAAAAAAAAAAAAAAAAAAAAGTGATCGACAGATGGCATAGGCACCTCAATGTGGAAAAACAAGTCCTCACACCGATTCAATGGTTTCGTGACATCAAGTGTAGGCCTGCCAAAATTACGTCTCTGCAATGGCAAATCCTGCATCTTTGTTTACCAACAAACGATTGGTTGATCGATCACTCGCACTTCGAACAGCAGGGTCGTACCCTCCCGTGGTGCGAGCGATGCCCCTCCCAGTAAGGAAGAGAGCAGAGACAATAAAGCACATCTTTCAACAATGCCCGAAAAAAATCCTTACTTGGAGATGGTGGGATAGGGTATGGCAGCAAATAGTTCCAAATCATCGGTGGCCGTGGGAGTGGCGAGCCATTCTTATGGGTCACTGCCCGCCTCTCCAGAGGGACATTTTTGCCTGGAATATGTTCCACCCAGGCCGAAGAACGGTCCTTTGGGTTCTCTGGTGGCAATGCTGTGCTCTAGTCTTAGACCAAGTTTGAGTCGAGGGAGAGGAAAGGATCGAACAATTTAAACAGCACATTCAACTGGAACTTACGTATCGATGGATGTCAGTCAAGCTCGCTCTTGATACCCTTCACAGGCCAAAGGACATCACGGAGAGGCTAGTGCAGTTCTCTAAGTAATGGCTGGGAGGGGATCGAGAGGGTTGGGTAGCAGAGGTTTGCTGGTCAGGGGATTGGAAAGGAAGTGAGGATGGGGAGGAAGGACAGGGAAGGGAGGCAGTGCCACGGGATTATCGATTGAAGTTTAAAGATTGGCTGACCATTGACTCCAGTGTCTCTTGAGACCAGCAGAGGATTTTCCAGATCCATTCCCTCCTCACCCACGGTCCTTGGAAATACAACTGTTGCGACATCTCTTCGACACCGGCGAAATGGCAGAGTATGGACCTGAAATCTGGCTACAGCAGCACCACTTCCTCAAGCTTGTAGATTTGTGAATTTCCAATTACGTCTTTAGGAAGGGGCGATCAGCATGGGCTATGCCCACAGGATAAGGCGAACTGGGAGAGAAATGGGCAGGGAGACGCAGGGCTCCACTGGTGCCCCCCAGTGGCCCCATGGCGTCTCCAGGCCAGGATAGCAGGGTTAGCCTTCTTGACCAAGACAGTTTTTCACAAGAAAGAAGGTTAGAAAGGGTGGGTGGACACAGACGGAGAGCCCTTCCACAACCTGCTCAGTCAATCCTCTGGAATCCAGAGTAATCAATGCTGGCAGGCATATTCCAGTCTCGTTTTTTCAGATGCTTTCAAATGTTTCTGTATAATTCCTTTATAAGGGACGCTGGACCCATTTTCCAGCAGGAGTTGCTCCCCACCAATAGATGGAGCCTCTCCCTAGGTGCTAGCGGTGGCTGCTCTTATCAGTACCGCTAACACTGATGGGGGTGTTTTATATATATAAAAAAAAAGGCTGACCCAAGGAAAAAAGATGCAACCTCTTTAACCCCATAAGGTTGTACTTTCTGCGCGTGTTCAAAAGAGAAGAACGATGAAGAAACTTTGGGAAAGCTTAGTAGCTCAACTCAAGCAAGCAGCTTGAAGACAAAGAGGCAGGAATGAGAAACCTTTCTGCTATTCGCACCAAGGAAATCAAGACACTTTTTGCAGTCGTCAATGGAACGCTGCATGGAGTTCAACTCGCTTGAGCACCCCAAAATGTACTTTTTGTCAGCAACCAGCTCTTGCTCATCTTGAGGAACACTTCTCATTCTATTTTCCATTGCCACAAACATCTCACACAGATTGTCTGCCCGCTCTGACACCTGTTCAAGAACATGTCAGAAGTTCAACAGCAGGAGCAATGGTCACTGTGTGTCAGGTCAGGTCAATGGGCAGGTGAGGACCCTTGAAAGAAAGGAAAAAAAGGATAATATTTTGATAGCTGGAAACCAGGTCGAGCCCAATGTCATTTAGATTTCTCTCTCTCTTGAGGGAAGATGAGGGAGGACCCCTACTCTTTTTCCTTACAAAAGAAAGAAGAAAAAGGGGAAAAAAGAGGGAGGACCCCTGCTGCAAAGTGCTGCTTCTTTGGAGTTCTTTCCCGAGGGCCAAACAAATCTCAGTCGTGTGGAAAAAAAAAGAACCAATCTCAGTCGTCTGGGGCGAGGTCCCACTAGCAACGGGATAGGATAGAAACGAGTTTGTGGGGCAGTTGAGTGACCCAAATCCTGCTGTGCAGTACTCGCGATCCCATGGTCAGTATTTTGCATGTATTACCTGAAAAAGTAAGGAGATCTTTGTTCCCCTCCTCCTCTCCTTAACACTGGGCATGCCCGTGCAAAGAAAGCTTCCCGCCAGAATCTTTTCAATCGGTTTGGGGTGTGCCCGGACCCAACGGAGGGTGGGGTTGGCCTTAGGCCCACTGGATAGAAGATTTTCAGTATTTTACTTGCTGTTGTTCAATTATCTAATTGGGTGGAGCCGTCCTTCAATCACGGAGCATATGGAGGGTGTCAGGATCAGTGCTGACAGAAGTCAAGTTTATTCCAGAAATTGTGGCGGTTACTTTGTTCACTGTTGTTGGAACCACCACCATCAGATCATTTGTGATATGTTGGCTGGGAAGCACTCTTCCGTGATTCCCGGTGGGAGGTCTCTGTTTCTTTGTTTTTTTTTTGCCTTTCTCCTGTTTTCTCAGCCCAGAAATTCGTAATGAACCTGTCTGGCCGCTGCCACTCAGTGTCACACTGGATCGGCCACACTCCTATCCGACTGCTAATGGGACCTCGCCCCTGATGAGGTCTGATTTATTATTAATATTATTCTTTTTTTGTGGGGAGCAACACGTGCTGAGAGCCGGGCCCAGCGTCCCATATGAAAATTATACACAGAATCTGAAGCACCGGGGTCATTACCCGGCTTCGGCTAAGAAGATTCCGAAGTATCAGACTGAACTTGACTCTTCTGCGTCATTTCTTTCAAGTGAAATCCTTTTCTTTTTTTCCTGTTAAGGGGGTAGCACCTATCATTACTGTATTCATCTGAGCAAGGCATGACTCGAACTCATGATCTGGGTACCAAGTTTTGTTTTTTTCATTTTAAAGAAAGCTGCAGTTTTATTATATGAACAATCAATGAGGCTGGGAATTCCTCAACATCTCAACCTGGATAGTGCTGGGGCCATTACCCAGGTTTGGTTTGTGCTGGAAACCAGGTCCAGTGTCCCAATATCTGCAACTTCAACGAAAGTGAAAAATGGACAAACAAAGCACAAACAAACAGAAATAAAAAGAAAAAAGCTATGCTACTGTCGCCCACGAAAGTGTAACCAGACTAATTCACACCCTTAACCTTCTGACCATATCGCCTTTCCCCCTCTTGAAACCCTAGGCATCTTTTTAACCTTATAAACCCTAAACCCTAAACCCCTACCTCCTGCTGTGTCTTATCCTTTCTTCTTCTTTCAGCCAAAACTGAGAACAACATTTAATCTTACACCTCTTCAACAGTTAGGACCGTATAAGGAAGCTGAAACGGTTTCCACCTTTGCAGAGGAATATGCAGATCCCGGGGTTTGATCCCCAGACCTTACCTCACCCATGTATAGTATCGAGTTGACCCTTGAGCGCTTGAACCCGTGACCTGTGTTTTATGAGTTGTTGTTTGTCTGTCGTACGACTGTGTGGACATAGGGATTCGATCTGTAGACCTGTCGAGTAGAGGTCTTAGACAGTTCCAGAAGTCGTAGCTGTAGATGTCCCGAAGGGTCAAAGTCGTAGCTGCTACAGTCCTGAAGAGTCAAGGTCGTAGGTGCTACAGTACTGAAAGGCCAAGTCCACGGTCTTCCGGAAGGTCCGGAAGTGGCCTTTCAAGTTTTCCTCTCACGTTTTCCACAGAAGGCCAGAGGCAAGTGGGCAAGTGGTGCGTCCAACTTCGCTTAGTCAGTGGTACCCAGTCCCAGTCTCTCTTTGCGCAGTCAGCAAGTACCAAGGGGGACTGGGCCCGGTGGAAAGAGGCAGACCAACGAGTTACAGAAGTATAAATCAAGAGGCAGTGCACAGCCATTCATTCATTCCTGCGGAAGCCATGCGGAAGCGCTGCCTCGGTGACTTGTGCGAGGTGGTCTGCAGAGGAGCCTGAAGTCGAAGTGGGCTGAAGGAGTTAGCGCAGCCATAGCTGCTTGTAGGGTAGTGTTAGTGGCGGCCATAGCTGCCATAGCTGTTAGTGTGGTGTGCGTACAGCGTGTGTGCGTGGGGTATCCAGGGTGATCCGGAGTTGGAGTGTGAAGCGAACAGTGGTGTTGGACACAGTGACAAGAGTTGCGATGTGTGGGTGCTGATGCACCATAGCCTGTTGAAGCGAGCTTACATCTGAACTGTGTCTTGGTTTCCATATCTTCGAGCTTTGAGTTGGGTGCTATGCGCCAGTCTGATTCACCATCTGTTTGAATGCATGTGGAGTGACAAAGTATGCGAGTATGATTGCAAAGCGGGAGGAAGGGGGGTTAAAGGGAATGGGCCAGGGGTTCTGGACCATTGGTCTTTCGTTCCTGGCCAGCGGTTCTGGACCATTGGTCTCTCGTTCCTGGCCAGGGGTTCTGGACCATTGGTCTCTCGTTCCTGTATAGTATACAGGAACGAGAGACCAATGGTCCAGAACCCCTGGCCTATTCCCTTTAACCCCCCTTCCTCCCACTTCCTTATATGGTCCTAACTGTTGGAGAGGTGTAAGATTAAATGTTGTTCCTCTATTGTGGCGAGCTTCCCAGACCCTAGGGTCATGTGTTCAAAATGATTCTGGATATTCTTGGCTTCCTCTGGGTTTTGCTGCATCTTCCATCTTTTTTTTTCTTTTTTTAACTTCGCATGTGGGAAAACCTACTTAACGAGGTGATAAGAGCAGCCCCGGTAAGTAGGCCCCTGCGTCGAAGGCTCCATCTATTGGTGGGGAGCTGCACCTGCTGGAAATTGGCTCCAGCGTCCCTATACAAGATGTGATGTGTATCAGATGGAAATTGGGTCCAGCGTCCCTATTCAGTGATAGGAGGAAATATCATTGTGATGTGTATGAGCTGGAATTCAGGACCAGCCTCCCTATTATGTGTTCGCACCTACATCTCAGAAAAGAGCCGAGGCATTGATTACTTCCCTGCATAAGGGTAGGATTGACATCCAGCTATAATGTACTCTAATTTCCTTGTAGGGTGATGTGGCACAATTCCCTACCTCCGAGTGTAGCATGGTGTACACGTGTACAAAAAAATGCACGTGAAAATGTAAAAAATGTAAAAAGCCATCTATCAAGGTAACAAACATATGTAAAATCAGGAGAGTCGAAGATTACTTCAGAAGACAGCAATGCTAGCGACCCCTCAACCATTACCCACCCCACCCACTGAGACAGCCCATGCCCCGTCGGCTGTAATCAATAGGAGGCAATCAACCACCCAATCCCCTCGCGAGGCCAAACTTCGGAGCATGGACGAAAGTAAAGCCATGTTGACCTCGCGGGGTGAAAAAATGAAATTCGCCCAAACCTCCGCAAATTCCAACCGAGCTGCCTCCATGCTGATGAAGATCGAGCGTTGCCGCCGTAGCAGACAACACAGTCCTTAGTGCTGGTGTCTGCGATCGCCATCGCCAGCCTGTCTGCCTCCTCACCCTCCGCACTCAAGTTGTTGCCGTTGATGCTGTCATTGTTGTTGTTGTTGTTGTTGTTGTTGTTGTTGTTGTTGTTGTTGTTGTTGTTGTTGTTGTTCTTGATTATAGCGGATGTTGTATTCGCCAGCGCTGTCCGATCTGCCTCCTCAATCGCTACGTGCAAACCGCCGGCCGTCATGAGCGTCCTCCCTACAAACCCTCCAGTGAGCAACCCCCCATCATCTTCCATCTTACTCTCTTCCATTGGGCTCTTATTTCAGTTTCCAGTAAACTCCTAAAGCACTCCCTCGCTTCTAGGATTGGCATCGGACGGCCTTCTATTGTGATCTGGCACCTTCTTTTGCAAATGGTCCATATAGGGCATATTGACGCAGCAGAAGGAAATATTTTTGCTCGAAGACTGACCATCCTGGCGGCAGCTCCCCCCGGTGAGGAGTGCCGTCAAGGTCTCCAGGAACTGCATGTCTGCAAGTCCCTCCCACCATTCCTTGGCTATCTGTTAGATTCCCTTTGCCTCCCTGCATGCTATTAGGCAATGAATGCTCCGTGGTCTCCCTGACTCCATCCATCCTTACACACCATGCACAACTCATTCTGAGGCAGTCTGTGTTCCTGACTTGTACGCACGTTTAACCACACGCTGACTTGCAGGGCTACGTAATAAATCACCCACTGCATGCTTCGTACCCGTCCCAGCCTGATGATGGCCGTGAGCGAGGACCATTGGATGGTCGGCATCTGTTCGGCCGGTACCGTCTCCGTCAGGGGGTATGGTCTAAGCCTGAGCTTGTAACCCGGCCTGGTCGTATAGTGAAGTATGTTGACCCTGCGAGATACGTTAAGTGTATCTCTTCTCAGTTTCCACACCCACTCCGCCGGATCTATCTCCAGGTCCTCTACCTGAATGGTCGGGCAGAAGATTGTGAAAGTAGTGTTCTGTTTCCACCACCCTTAAATTTCCGAACTACTTCGAATTGAATGAGGAGAAGGGGCGCAGCGCAGCCGGGAGCGCTGCGCCCCGCCTGGTACTGGAATCGCGGGAGCACGATGCAGTACGGCGCGGCAAGGGCGAGCGCGGAGCGGTGTGTGAACAGAGCGGGGCAAGAGCGAATATCGTGGTGATGGGGAAGTGATACGGGCGGCAAAGGGGATGAGAGGATGGG